CACGGACCGCGAGATCGTGACCTGGCTGAAGTCGGACGCCTAACCGACTGCGCCACCCAGGCGCCCCTTAAGTGTCTGATTCTTGATCTCAGCTCACATCTTGATCTCAAGGTTGTGAGTCCACACCTAATGTGGAGCCCAACTTAAAAAACAAAAACAAAAAAACAAAAAACAATTCTTGGAGGGGGTTTAGAAGTCTAGGTTGGCAGCTATGTTTTTTCAGCTTTTCAAAGGTATTATTCAACTGTCCTCTGCTTTCATCGTTTCTACTGAGGAGGTCTTAAGTCTTACTTTTCCTTTACAGTACACATAGTTTTTTTTTTTCACTTGCCTGCTTTTGAGATTTTCTGTTTGTCTTTGATTTTCAAAATTTTCACTATTCCCAAGATTTCTAAGTGGTATTTTCTGTATTTATCCTGCTTAGTGTTTGCAGCACTTTTGAATCTTGATGTCTTTTCTTTTCAGGTTTCTTTTTCAGTTTTAGAGAAGTCACAATATCTTTTCAAATGTTACTTCTGCTTTTTTTTGTTTTCTAGTATTCTAATGCAAGTACATGAGACCTTGTCACTGGGTCTCATATGTCCCTTATGCTCTTTCTTTTTTCTCTTAGTGATTCAATCTGAATGGTTTATACTACTTGCTCTTCACTCATTTTCTTTTCAATTCTGTCTATTCTGCTGTCAACTCCATTGATTAAGTTCTTAATTTCAGTAACACTAATTTGGGGTAATTTTTAATTTGACAATTTCCATTCGATTCATTTTTAAGTTTATTTATTTATTTTGAGAGAGAGTGTGTGTGTGTGTGTGAGAGAGAGAGAGAGAGAGAGCACGTGCGTGTGTGTGTGTGTGTGTGTGTGTGAGCGAGCAAGGGAGGCACAGAGAGAGAGGTAGAGAATCCCAAGCATTCTCTGTGCTGAGAAGACCTCACAACCATGAGATCACAACCTGAGCACCCCTGATTCATTTTTAAAGGCTCCACTCCTTTGATGAAATTCTTTACCTGATGTCCCCTAATTTCTTGGTCATTTTAATCATAGTTTTGTTAAAGCTCTTGTGTCTGATAATTCCAATACCTAGATCTTCTGTGGGCTGGGTTTTTTCCCCCTGATTTGGTCACGTCTCCTGGTATTTCCAGTAATTTTTGTTTGATGGCCAGACATTAGGAGTTTTAAAATGTGCAGGGGTGCCTTTGTGGCTCTGTCAGTTAAGTATTCAGCTCTTGGTTTCGGTTCAGGTCATGTTCTACCAGGTTCATGAGTTCAAGCCCTGAGTCAGGCTCCACACTGTCAGGGCAGAGCTATTCAGATAATTTGAGGGTTTATATGATGATATTTTCCTTCAGAGATTACACACTTCTGCTTCTGGCCAGTAGGTACCAGGGATTGAGGAGTTGAAATTGGGCTCGTTTCTGTGAGGACTGAATGATTGTGACTCACTCATACTCCTGATGTATCACCATTTGAGAAGCTCCCCTGCGGTCTTTAGCCATGAACCCCTTCTTGCTAATCCCTGAACTTCAACTTTCACCCTTCCTACCACTTGAGATGAGGTAACTTTGCTCAGCATCTTAACCTTTCACTTGTCTGTCTCTCTTTGGTTTCTGAACCTGTGAGCCATTACTTGTGAATTGGAAAATGCCTGAAGGAAAAAAAAATAGTACCAAATTCTGGGTCCATCTTTCTTCCTTCTCTTCCCTAGTATCGTAGCCCCTTGAGTCCTCACTGCCTTGGTGACTCCCTAATGCCTCTAAAACGATGAAGCTTTAAAGATAAGTCCCCTGTCTTTTGTAGTTGACTTCAGCGGATTGGTTTGTGATCAGGTATTCTGCCATGACTAAAAGCAGAAATCTCGACGTAGGGCACATCAGAGAAAGTGCTGTTGGACAGGAAAGGAGGTGCCATGGAACACTTTAAGAAAGAGATCACACTTGAACTGGATCTTGAAATATGAGCATAGCTAGAAAAGCAAAAGGCACGAAGGCACAGAAAGTATGCAGCACCAGAAAACAACTTGAATTTGGTGAAACCGAGATCTAGATTTTATGGGAAGTGGTGATCATGAGGAACTAGACTGGTAGCCCTATTACAACCAGAACTTTCTGCCGTGCTCATCCTGTTGGTAATGAGGGATAATTACATGGCCCCTTTTCCTCATGATAAAAAAAAAAAGTAATTGGGGGGAAACACAGGTACAGATGAGTTTCAAATTACAGGACTTGTTGAGGTCATTCAGAGACTCTCATCTTGGTTGTCTCCAGTTTTCAATGAAAAATGAGGCTGAGACGTTAGCTAATCGTAGCAGAGAGGTGAGGTGACAGAGAAACTTGAAAAGGATAGTAAATGTTTGGGATGATCCCTGTGGTATACGGAAGGGGAACCCTCTAAAGATGAGTAAAATGGATTACTGACCTGCAAAGGTTAGCTAGAGTCACCCTTGTCATCATTCCGATTTTACATAAACAGTTGTCACCTAGACTGGTTCTCAAACCGGTACTTAGGGAGTTGAAACACGGCAAAGAGGCCACCTGTCTCCTCACTGTGGCTGTTTGGAATGCAGTGATCAAAATTCCAGGTCCTCAAGGTTTTGAAACCCTGCTGAGACCACATACTATATATATGCCATTAGGTATGCTTCCTGTCTTTCTGAATCCCAATCTCCACATTATACCAAATGGATGTAGTAAAAGTTATATTTTTGTAGAAATTGTTTATCATGGTGGTCACATGAGTTTTACCTGGAGAAACTTCTAGTCCAGTACCTGTCACGTACCTGGTTTAATAAGTTGTAGCTGTTGTAGTTTTAAATTGTTATTCACATTATTTTTGGTCTACTCTCTATAAAGGGCATTCTCTTCTCCTCTGTGGAATGTGTAAAATCCACACAGGACCTCGTAAAGCTCTATCTACATGAATCAAGTCGGGTTTATCGGGACAAGATGGTGGAAGAAAAGGACTTTGATCTTTTTGACAAAATCCAGACAGAAGTGGTCAAGAAAATTTTTGATGTGAGTATTGCCCTGAAAAAAAAATTGCTATATATTTGAAAAATAAATATTTCTGCAGACGATCACGCAAATGATAAAATCTAGCTCAGAAATGCGGCAAGGTGGGGGGCAGGAATCAGAGATTAGATAGAGAAAGAAAATCTATCATTATTTTGCTGAGGTGAAAATGGCAGGACAAGAAAAGACATAAATTACCATAGAATTTCAGTGTTGGGAGGGTCTGTGGATTTCATGTGATCCAATTCCTTGTCCCATACTCGCTCATGTCAGTAGCATTTCTCAGATTGGTCATCCCAGTGGATGCATCCTTGAAAATGCATAATCTCATCTTTCCCGGGGGAGCCATTCTGGAGCCACTAATGACTAGAAATTTGAAGCAATTTATTTTTTTTTTAAGTTTATTTTTTTATTTTGAGAGAGAGAGAGAGAGAGGCAGAGAAGGAGAGAAAGAATCCCAAGCAGGCTCTGTCAGCACGTGGGGCTTGAACTCACGAACCATGAGATCATGACCTGAGCTGAAATCAAGAGTCTGATGTTTGACCGGCTGAGCCACACAGGTGCCCCTGGAAATTTGCAACAATTTTTATTTTTTTTATTTTTTATTTTTTTTAATGTTTATTTATTTTTGATAGAGAGAGAGAGAGAGAGAGAGACAGAGCATGAGTGGGGGAGGGGGAAAGAGAGAGGGAAACACAGAATCCGAAGCAGGCTCCAGGCTCTGAGCTGTCAGCACAGAGCCCGACGTGGGGCTTGAACTCATGGAATGTGAGATCATGACCTGAACCAAAGTTGGATGCTCAACCAACTGAGCCACCCAGGCACCCCTGGAACAATTTTTAAATTCGGAAGCTTTGGAACAATTTTAAAGTCTGGAATTTTTTTCTTTTCCTTTCTTTCTTTTTTTTTTTTTTTTTTTTTTTTTTTTTTCATTTTCATTTATTTGAGGAGAGAGAGAGTGTGTGTATGAGCAGGGGAAAGGGGCAGAGAGAGAGAGAGGGAGAATGCCAAGCAGGTTCCACGCTCAACACAGTCCCCCCCGATGGGGGGGGACTCGATCCTATGATCCTGGAATCATGACCCGAGCCAAAAACCAAGAGTCAGTCGCTCAACCGACTGAGCCACCCATGCACCCCAGCTGGAAATTTTTTCTAATGATGATCTAAAACTTATTTCCCTGTCCACTCATATTAAGTCTACATGAAACACTTTCAAATATTTCAAATAATATGTCTTGTCCTTCCTGGGTCTTCTTTCCTCCAGACCAAATAGCCTCTGTTCTTTTAGCCACTTCTGACATGGCTTGTTTTCAAGCCCAGAGAAATTTGCCATCATCTTGATTACTTTTCCATCAGTTCCCTCCTCTGAGATCGTGGGGTCTGACTTTTCGTCTCACAACCCAACTGGGGTCTGGCCCAAAGCAAGATCATCATTCCCTCTTCTTACATACTATAATTTTGTTACCATTTCCCAAAATTGTCCTCCTAAACTGTTGAACTACGATATACTCCTTAGAAAGAAGGTATCCATGATAAAAATAAGTTGAGAAAGTACTTCATATTCTATCCCTCTCTTGGAAATACATCGTGCTTTCGGCACATTCAAGCCCCCAAAATCTTGAATAACCCTGATTCATTTGTCATTTCCCACATGTATGAGACCCTCAAACCCTTTTCCATTCATGAAACTTACTAATAATTTGCAGAACGAATGTTCCACAGAATATGCCTTGGAAAGCACTGATCCACGAACGCAGCCTAAGATCGTGTTACACTTCTTTGTGTCACAGTTACCCCACAGCTAACACTGAGCATTCTGGAAGTTGACCCAAACTCCCTAGTTTCCACTCAAGCCACTTGTCCTCTCTCGAACTTAGAAATAACCAGAACTTGTATTGAAATGTACCGTGTTTCCCTGCTCGCCTTGTTGGGTCTGGCACCATATTTTGTCCTGACCAACCTGGGTCTACCTCTGAAGATACTTAGAGTCCATCCCAACCTACATGGCAGCCTTCTGGATCTTGGACAGCATTTTTAAGGAATTTATCTCAGCCTGCTCTTTACTAATATGAACACCCTGAAATGCCTCCCCTTACCATTTTTCTGTGCCCCGCTCTCACATCTTAGATGCCCCTCTGAGCATTGTAGCATTTGCCAATTTATGTGTTCATGGTTGGCTCTGCAAACGCACCTTGACTACTTTCTCCAGCCAGTCTGAGCTGGCACTTTAGACGGACAACTCTCAGCCTTTGAAATCGAGGTTCCTCTGTGGGTCTGTATCCTAAGGACGCATTCTTTTGATCATAGACCCAGATATAATTAATACCATTATCCTTCTCCAACAACCTCTGAAATGCCAGCCAGAATCACCTCCGGCCGCATGAAATCTTGGTATCGGTATTAATGAAAGGTTACTGGATTTCCACCAAGGAAGTGACACGGTCCTGTTTCCACCATTAAAATCTTAACGTTCTCTGAGAAGTGGCCCTTGTGTGATGTGGCGTCACTATGAAGAAGTCTTTGATTCACCGGGTGCTTGGTTTTCCTCTCCCTCCTGCACCGCCTGGCTCTGATCAGAAAATCTGAGACACATTGTTTTGTTCATCAAAGAGTCTTTGTAGAGTGGGCTTTTCAGAACTGCACTTCAGTCCTTCCTCTGCTAGACCATTCATGTAAATTGACTGCTATCAGGACCAATTCCCAGTATATTAGCCCGTGTTCAAACTGGGTAAATGTATTCCCACATCACTTCCCCCACGTGCTTCCTGCAGCTAGCGAGAATGGCTCGCCTGCATTTCATTAAATCTTACCCGAGTGTCTGGGCATTTACTGCTAATGTGTGGCAAAGACATAATGGTTTAAAGACTTTCCAGGGCCCTGAAATCACCTTCAAAATACAATAGCTCTTTGATATTTAACTCTTGCCATTTCATTCTTCTTATAAACCAGTCCTGGTTTCTCTGTCCATGTGACTGTCGAACTCACTTCCCCTCCATTAAGTTTGATGCATCTTGCCCATGGGCTTACAAAGCCAACCCTAAGGGACTCATCCCCTGGGTAATGTCCTTGCTGATAAACAGCATGTGTGTTACCTCTTTGGCAGGTGGTTCTCCCAGTCAGAACGTTGGGAGAAAAACACAATGGCAGTGGGGATAGTTGCTCATAATGGTATAGCACTAGGAAACCTGTTTTTTCTCAACTTCCTTCTGCCACCTTTCTTCCTTTCGAAGTCTCTAGCATTCAGGTTTCGGTAAGTAAGTATACAATGGAATACTACTCAGCAATGAGAAAGAATGAAATCATGCCATTTGCCTGAATGAGTGAAATGACTGAGTGAAATAAGTCAGTCAGAGAAGGACAGATATCATATGTTTTCACTCATATGTGGAACTTGAGAAACTTAACAGAAGATCATGGGGGAAGGGAAGGGGAAAAAAACAGTTACAAACAGAGAGGGAGGGAGGCAAACCATAAGAGACTCTTAAATACAGGTAACAAACTGAGGGTGGATGGGGGTGTGCAAAAAAATAAATTAAGGAAAAGATTAGCTGCCTCTTTGATGCTCGGAGGGCACCTTGGTGGTAAGGAGACATAGATGCCGTATCTTTTTAATTAATTGAATTGTACTAGGTATTCATTAAACGTGGTTAGGTCTGCCCTGTGGGCAAGAATTAACACACAATAGGCTCATATCTTTAGGAAAATTGTGTACCATGTACACGCAGGGGGCTCTCCTGTGAATGAACCAGTCACCTAAGGATGGCTCATGGCACATTTTTCAGAAACCAAGTTCTCTGGGCTGAGCCTGTGAGGCTGGGGCTGGTAGCCTACAGTGGGGTGTCTCACAGGAAACAGGAAAGGATATTTTAGGACACTGCTGTGGATTGGGAAGCAGGACTTGTTGGAATGGGTGCGGGGGAGATGAGGCCACTGGTGCATGGACCCCTTCACCCGGCACTGGTCGAAGAGCCGCTGCTTAGCGTAATCTGTCCCTGTGTCCCCATCCATTCCTCTGCCCAGACATGGGCTCTACCTGTGTATGTGGGAAGGGTCCCTCCCACCTTCCGGTTTCCACTCTCAGCCCACAAGGAATAACAAACATCACTCGTGACTTCATGGAGCTAGTAAATGAATGTTAAACATCCACTTCATAGAAGCTTCTCAAGAAAAAGAAAGTGTTGGAAGCAGGACTGATACTTAATTTGCAGGGTGTGTTCAGAGAGAAAAAGCACATGAGGGGTCTTCAATCTGTATGGAACCAGAACTGAGTCTGTAAGGAGGGTCCTTACGCCTGTGTCCCATCACCAGGGTGTTGATGAGACGGTGGAGCAGACCCGAAGCCTAAACATATATTGCCATTTTGCAAATGGTATTGGTGAACCCAAGTACATGCCTGTACAATCGTGGGAACTTTTGACCCAGACTCTGGTGGAAGCCCTGGAGAACCACAACGAAGTCAACACAGTGATGGACCTGGTTCTCTTTGAGGACGCCATGCGCCATGTGTAAGTGTGCTTCCGTTCTTGCCTTTCCTCAGTTGCCTCGTCTTCCCAATGTCAGAGGTCTCATGTGGGCATTTGAGGACACCTCCCTAAAACCAGAAAAAAAAGCAGCTATGCGTCTGCCCTGAAGGTCAAGATGGCGGCCGGTAGAGCAGCGGCTGCAGTGTCTGCCACTGACCCTAGGGGGCAGCAGGATGCTGAACTCAGGCAGCACTGGATGTATTTCCTTGTGTGTCATTTACAATCCCTGGGCATGACCACAGTGACACCAAGGGAAAATTTAAGATCATAAAAGAGGCACCAGAACAGCTCAGAACCCATATCCCCACCCCATACCGGTCGAAGGGCCAACTTTAGAATAATGAGATTGAAGATTTTTGTTTACGTGCTCACAGATTTCAAAAACTGAATACCCTTCTTAAATGTTATTGCCATCAAATGAATCACTGAGAGTAGTCACCAAGCCTCCCAGACGATGTATACTCACACCAGTGCTGTCCCTGTATTGCTCTACATTCCCCGGTTCAGTCACACCTACCATCCCTCCCTGCCTTCCAAAATCTTTCCACCCTGTCCCCTGGTACCCGTGCACTTCAGCAGCAAAACCCACCTCATCTTTACCTTCTCTGAACCTCCCCTCATTGATGATTCCGAGTGAAACCTCACTGACCCCTGAGTGGAGGAAAGCTCTTTTTGCTGTTCTGTGTCCCCCCCAGGACCTAGCGAGAACTAAGTACCCTCCTTCTCCCCCACCTCATTTCAATGGCACATTTAAACCATTTCTCTCTTTATCCTTTACAAACCCCACTTCTTCTAAAGCACTGGCAACCGGACATTCATACTCATCACCTCGCCTGTCATCTGCCAACAGCCAGTTCCCCCCCAACACTTACCGGCTGCCTGGGTGCTTGGAGCGTCTTCTCAACTACATCTTTCTCCATGGCTGGCATTGGTCTTGTTAATTCCTGTGGTTGTTTCTTCCATCCCCCACCTCAGCCACTCGCTCTCATGTTCCTACCCTCGCACTTCCATCATCGGTGATGATCCCATCTCCACCATTGCCATTTCGAACGTCCCTCTCTCTGACTTGTACCTCTTACCCTTCCACTCACCTGCTCTACTTCCCATTCCAGGTATCCTTTCTTTACCCAGTTTTATTGAGATATAACTGACATATAACATGGTATAAGTTCAAGGCGTACAACGTCACGACTCGATATACGTGTATAACACAAAATGGTCATGACAATAAGATTGGGGCACCTGGGTGGCTCAGGTGGCGAAGCGTCCAACTCTTGTTTGGCTCTGGTCACGATCTCACATTTACGGCATCAATCCATGCATCGGACTGTGCACTGAGCATGGGGCCTACTTCGGATGCCCCCTCTCCCTCTCTCTTTGCCCCTCCCCCTTCTCAAAATAAGCAAATAAACTTAAAAAAAAAAGATTAGTTAACAGTCATCACTTCTCCTAGTTACCATTTTTTTCCCCTTGTGATAAGAGCTTTTAAGATCTGTTCTCTTAGCAACTTTCAAATACACCACACAGCGCTGTTAACTGTAGTCATCGTATTATATCTTACATCTCCAGAACTCATTTATCTTCTATCTGGGATTTTGTACCTTTTGACCACCTTTACCTGATTCCTCACCCCCATCCCTCCAGTCTCTGGCAACCACAAATCTGATTTCTGTGTGTGTGCGTGTGTATGTGTTAGATTCCACATATAAGTAAGATCATATGGTATGTGTCTTTCTCTGACTTACTTCAGGTGGTGTAATACCTTCAAGGTCCTTCTGTGTTGTCCCAGATACAAATATTCCAGTTACTCTTAAACTTCATCAAGACTTCATTTCATGGAGCCAACCACTTTCGCAGACTCCTTTGTCCCTCTGCCTACCATGCCTTTTCTGTCCTCAGCCATCATAGACTCCCATCATGCTGGTACAGGCTCCCCTAACTTTCCTGGCATAGCATCCACGTGACAAAACCCCATTCTAGTCAAACCCCACTGTTGTCTTATTCCACACCTGCCCCCTAAGCATCTGAAGATCGTGGAAGAAAAACCACAAAAGTTTTGGCTTGGTTTGCTTCATATTTTCAGCCACAGCTACCAAATGGGCCCCTAACGTTGTGGAAACTCCACCTCCCCTACCCTGGGCAGTTTGCTCTCTTGCCCTGCCTGTGGTAATTGCATCGTGTAGTTGTCTGTTCTCAAGCTTCCAGCATCCTTCTCCTCTCTCTGTTCCCAGTTAATGAGCACATGTCTTACTTCACTGCGATAGTGAAAGCAACCAGGAGAGAATCCTCTCATCTCCCCATCATCAAATCTAACAGCCTATCTTCATCCCTCCTGCATCCCACCCACAGATTGTGCCTTCTCTACTGTCTCAGCAAATGAACCATCCCTGTTCCTACCTGAGGCCAATCCCTCCGTGTGCATTCTGGATCCTGACTCTTACCACCTTCTAAGTGAGTTTATTCCTTCTGAAATTCAATTATTCTTTCTCCCTCCTTCCTTCCCCCCACCTCCCCCTCCCCCACCACCTCCTCCTTTCTCCCTCTCTCTTTCTCTTCCCTCCCCTCTTTGCTCTTGTCTCCCCTTACCCCATCTTCATTGATTCAGTAATTGCTTCATCATATGCATCTACATACAAACATGCCAGATCATCCTTATCAAAAACAATAAACTATCCCTTCACTTTTACATCTCTTTCCATCTCCTACCCCCATTATTTTTTGCTCCTGTTCATAACAGCATTCATCAAAGTGGTTGTCTGTGCTTGTCATACTTTCTCACTTCTCATTCTCCCCTTGACCCATTTCTTATCAATTGAACAAATAAGTTCTTATCAAAGTCACCACGGAGCCACCTCTTGCGAAAGTCAGTTGTCACTGCTGGGTCCTCACCTTGTATAACTTGCCTTTCTACTGCATTTGTCATGATTAATCACTCTAGTTGTTTGCATCCATCCATCCCTCCATCTATCCAACCATCCAGTCCCCCATCTATCCAAGCATCCATCCATCCAATATGTATCTATTGAGTAGGCATACTATGAGTGCAGGGATCTTTGTTTTATTCACTGCTAGATCTCTAATACCCAGGACAGTGTCTAGAACATAGCAGATCAACAAAAATTCTTAGCATGTCATATGGCATAGGTGATGTAGAGAAAACAGGGAAGAGGGGACAGAGTCCTGGGGGCAGGGGGCTGATTGCAGTCTGAAATAGGATGGTCTGGAGGACCTCTCTGGGGAGGCAGCATTGATGTGACACGTAGGAGCCACCCTGAACACAGAACTCATGTGGGCCTAGTGCATGGATCTTTGCATAAGTCATTTCATCTAGTCTTCACAAAAACCCTGAAGAAAGTAAGGTCTGTCATCCCTCCATTACAAATGAGGAAGCTGCAACCCAGAGAGAGAAGAGAAGTTGCCTAGTGCCACACTCCCCAGAAACAGGTAAGCCAAAGCTTACACTAGGGCCCTGTGGCTCCAGCGTGTGTGATCTGGGCTTTCACACTGTGGTACTTGTTCATCTACTTTTCTGTCTCTCCCGGGCCAATGTGAGCTCCTTTTGCTCACGGCTGAATCCCCAGTACCTTGGACAGCGCCTGGTGCCTAGTAGGCGGCCAGTAACCAGGGTTTTAGGATATCTGTTCAGTAACCCTGGGCAGCTTCAGTGGACACGCCCCCTCCTCAGTAACAGCTCTCAGAGCCTGTGTCATCGTCTTGGAATTGAGACAGATCTTTGTCCTTTCAGGGTAAATTTCATTTGAGAGAAGAGCAAGTGAATTCTGTCAATGCGGTTTCCAACATGGGTGATCAAACTCACTAATTCTGTTTACAGGAAAAAATAAGGCTATGAAAACTGGCTTTTCTCCTGAGACTCCTTAAGAGGCTCCAAAGATGGTTTCCAAAGAGAATCTGGAGCTGCATTAGCAATAGCAAAATAACTGGAACAATGAACTGCCTTGAGGGAGGCAGTTCTCACGATTAAAGTTTATTTGGATGTATCATTTCACATACATTTGTTTAAAAATATCAATGTCTCACGACTTCATCTTTGCACTGCCCTCCCCTCCCCTCCTCGGGCTCCTCACTCCCCTCTGCTGCCCCTACCAGCCAGATAGAGCAGAGGCATCCCCTCATGCCAGAAAATGGAATCAACAGTGAGAAACACAGACAACCTAAGAGTGACAAGATTTGTGGCCTCACATCACACCGCATGGTGCCTGGGGCAGAGGGGTTTGGATTCCCTCCGGGAGGTCCTGATACCTAGGGTGATACCGAGGGTGGGAACAGGGCGAGGCAGAGCGGGACGGAGGCTATGGCACTCCCTGGGAACCCACAGGGCTGGCGGGTGGAGCCAAGGTAAGGGCGTAGGTTCCTAGGTGCAATGAGGCTTATGCTCATTCTGATTCTATCATCCGGCTCTCGGTTCTCACCACGTGAGTTCTCACCATTTTCTCTGATCTGGTTTCCCTACACCTTTCCCAAGCTCTGCTGCTAACTCTTCCTGCCTACTTCTGTGCTGAACCCAACCATGGAGCACCGCATTGCGGGGATGGGCACAGGCTCCGGAGACAGAGTCAGACCCACATTCAAATCCCGGTTCTGCCGCTAATTGGCTTCGGTATTTTTCAAGGGACACTGAACTTCCCCGAGCCTCAATTTGTCCTCTGGGAAACGAGGATAGTAGGAATGCCTACGTCGTGCGCCTACGTTGTGGCAATGAGTATACAGCGCTTTGCGCTCAACACAGAGTCTGTAGGTTTAGTCTTTTTCTTCGTGCTGTTATGTCCTTAACGGTACCATTTTGCTCTCCTACTGACTTTCTCTGCCACCTCAGCAGATTCTTGTTGTGCCTTTCCTTAAAGCCTTTTCCCCTGCTTGTGGCATAACCTTAACGTTTTTCTTTGCTTATTGGCTCCCACATAGAGTCTTTGTTCTGCCTCTTCTTTCTCTTAGCATCACTTAACAAAAAAGGAACTTTAGATGTACTTCTCTTGTGCCCCTTCCTTTGTGCATCCTGTCCATTCTCTAGGGCGTGAGTGTGCGTGTGGGTGTGCGCGTGCATGTGCCTCAGTGTGTGCGTGTGTCGGCTTCGGTGAGCCCGCTTCCTCCGGCTGTGCTGTGGTACATCTTTGGCTTTTGTCTTTAATCTCACAGAAATTCAGTAATGGGCTTAACTTAGACTCCGCTGGTTTGCTTGCCCAGGAGTCCTTCAGAATATTGATCCTCTTTTTTAAATTTTGTAATTTGAATGCAGAGTCCTTTGCCCTCGTCAGAGGTTGTTAATGAATCCCCAGCTGGAGTCTAATGCTGACAGTTGCAGACTCAACCATTCTTCTCCGGAAACTTCAGCACTAATGATGCATTTCCCATTTAGATATTGAATAGCAGGGACCATGCAAAGCTGAGGTCAGGCCTTCCAGCCTAGAGGGGGTGTTGGGCGGCCCAGAGAACCCAGGTGAACTTCTTCTCCAAATAGAGGGCCTGGATATGCTTCTCCCTTCATCATTGCTGCCAGGCGCCCTCTAATATAGTCACAAAGCAGGTGAGCCCTTGCACCTCACATCCCCCCCGCCGCCCCGGTGTGATGCTGACTGGAAGGTATTTGTTGTGCTCTTTGAGTTTAACTAAAATTTATTAAATGCCTTCAATGTGCTAGCATTATAGAGGATACAAGACGAGTTATACATGCACGTTCTTCCAGGGCCTCGAAACTAGGACTTAAGGGAGCCAGAGAAGTGAAAAGCCATCTGATACAAGAGAGAGTATAAGTATCACAATTAAAGAATTCTAAAGGGGAAAAGCAAAATCGTAAAAGAACTAAGGATGGGTCAGTAAATAATTCCTAAATTCTTAGGGGAATTAATTTTGACTATAAAACTCAGTGACTTATAATTTTAAGACCAGAAAGCTAGGATTTTCCACACATCAAAAAATACATTAAGACCAAAAGGGAAAAGTGACAAATTGGAGGGACATTTCAGAGCATACATACCTAAGGGGGGGGGTCTTACAAATCTAGAACACTTCAATTAAGAAGTGGGAACTTGGGGTACTTGGCTGGCTCAGTCGGAGGAGTGTGCAACACTTGATCTCAGGGTTGTGAGTTTGAGCCCCGTGTTGAGGGTAGAGATTAAACAAAAAAGAAAAAGGGGGGGGGGGGCAATGGACATGAAAAGGAAATTTGTAAAAGAAAAAATATATAATGATAAGAAAGATGTTCAGTTCCCTAAATAATGAAGAAATAAAAATTAATATTTTCAACCACTGACAGAGATTTAAAAATATGTTGGTAGCCGGGTGGCGCCAGTCGGTTAGCGATCCGACTTCGGCCAGTCCGCGATCACCAGCGCTCATGAGGTTGAGCCCAGCGTGGACTCTGGGCTGATGGCTCCAGAGCCTGGAGCCTGTTCTGATTCTGTGTCTCCTCTCTGCCCCTCCCCGTTCATACTCGCTCTCTCTCTGTCCCCAAAATAAATAAGCGTTGAAAAAAAATTTAAAAATAAATAAATAAATAAAAATATGTATATAAGACCCGTGTCCCACAAGGAGAATGGGCAACTCTCCTATCGGCTGATAGGTGGGCATTGTTGACCTGCAGCCCTGCTAGGGTTTCCTTCTCAGTAGCAAACGCATCCCACAGGAGACAGGAGGCAACGAACACCAGAGACATTTAGGTTATCGGCTGATTATGACCCAGTCATCAGTATGTGCCAGAAATTTTTTGCAATAGTGAAAATCAAGCCACAGAAGGTTTTATCCTTATATGCTCATAGTTTGTTATTACGTCAAGCCCCAGAACTCTCCCGTGCCCCAGCCTTTTTTTTTCCAAATGGAGCTTAGCTACCCTTGGGCCTCTCCACTGATTACATTACATATGTGAATCGCGGAGTTTGTCACTGCTCCAACATCATGAACACAAGGGGTAGAGACGACTTATAGCCTGTGCTGTTCAATCAGATGTCCACTCTGCTGTGTTTGGTCAGACTCCACCTGAGGTCTTGTTCTGTGTAGCCCTTCAGTTCCGAGGTCCCCAACACCTGTTGTCTCACCCTTATTTTCCCCGTTTCTCCACCGTGCCTTGGTCACTGTGTTACGTTTTCCCCAAATTTTTAACATATTCTCATTCAACTCACATGATCTAGCATAGGCTCACCTTTTGAAATAAGAGATCCACATTTTGATCCATCGGCTGGACCTAGATGGAAATTGTTGCCCTTCATTCTGGAAGGTAGACGGTTTTCACTACATTATCAAAGATTAGGTAGAAAATCGCCTTACTGTTTGACTTGGCAGTGTTACCTTTTTTTAAGCTTATTTATTTATTTTTGAAAAACAGAGAGAGTGAGCAGGAGAGGGGCAGAGAGAGAGAGAGGGAGAGAGAGAGAGTTCCAAGCAGGCTCCACACTGTCAGCACAGTGCCTGATATGGGGCTCGAGCCCACAAAGGGTGAGATCATGACCTGAGCTAAAACCAAGAGTCGGACACTTAACTGACCGAGCCACCCAGGGGCCCCTTGGCAGCTTTACTTTTAGGAGCCCGTCCTGTGGGCGTGACAAGAGGTAGAAACTAAAAATAACTTAAATAGCATTATTTATGGCTGGAAAATGTTGGAAACAACCTAAATATCCAGTAGTAGTCTATTGCAGACAAGGAATTTATTCTATGCATTGGAATATTGTCCTACCATTAAAAGCATGGCCTAGCGGGGTGCCTGGGTGGCTCAGTCTGTTAAACGTCCAACTCTTGGTTTCGGCTCAGGTCATGATCTGGCTGCACATAGCCTGCTTGGGATTCTCTCTCTTTCCCTCTCTCTCTGCCCCTCCCCGACTTGTGCCGTCTCTGTTTCCCTCGAAATAAATAAACTTAAAAAAAAAAAAAAAAGCACAGTTTAATGATTACTCAGCAGCATAGGAAAATAATCACAGAACATCACTAAATGGAAAAGTGGTCTCAAAACACTGTTTACTGTATGACGTGAGCCCAGTTTTGAAAACAGGATAGATACACATATTGAACTTCCACAGGTAATGGGTGTAGATACACATAAATATATACTTACAAACATACAGACCCTAGAAAAATGTCCAGAAGGGCATACGGTTAATGTCAATGGTGTTTATTGCTACCTAGTAAGTTGTAGGTTTTTTTCTGTATTTTATGCATTTTTCACAATGAATAGTTATTGTTTTTAAGATGAGGAAAGCAAGGGGGGCAACCAGATGGCTCCGTCGGTTATGCGTCCTGCTCTTGGTTTCAGCTCAGGGCATGCCCTCCCCGTTCATGAGTTCGAGCCCCACCTCGGGCCCTGGGCGGATGGTGCGGACCCTGCTTGAGATTCTCTCTCTCCTTCTCTCTCTGCCCCTCCCTTGCCTGTGTCCACGCTGCCACTCACTCTCGCTCTCTCAAAAAATAAGTAAATAAATACAAAGACAAGGAAGGGAATGGAAACTATTGTCATAAAGGGTGTAGGTCCCTGGCATAAGGTAAGTACACAGTGCTGAGGGGAACGGAGAATGTGGAAGAGGGTCTGTGGATGGCCTGAAGGAAGGAGAGCATTTGCGGAAGGCTTGCGGGGCAGGCAGAGGAGGGTCCTCTGCAGAACATAGTCTGAGCCCAGGGCCTGGGAACGTTTCGCCATCGCTGGGTGGGAATATGGTTACTGAGAGAGGTGAGTGTCGCTGCAAGGGGAAGAATCCAGAAGCCAAGGAAGTGGGTGTCTTGTGCCCCAAGAATCTCCAAGTGCTCGTTGCAAGAGCATCCGTGCCTAGGGCTCCCCGTCATTCTGCCGACTTCAATTTTGCTCCTCCTTTTTAACAATTTTTTTTATTTTGTAATGTCTATTTATTTTTGAGAGAGAGAGTACAAGCGGGGTGGGGACAGAGGGAGAGAGAGAGACACTGAATCCAAAGCAGACTCCAGGCTCCGAGCTGTCAGCACAGAGCCCGACCCGGGGCTCGCACCCACAACCCGTGAGATCATGACCTGAGCAGAAGTCGGACGCTGAACCGACTGAGCCGCCCGGGCACCCCGTTGCTCCTTCTTTCTTAAGAGGAGCAAACAATTCTGTTCCCGCTTGTCCTCTAGCCTCCCCTGAATGTTTTTTCTTCTTTTCTCTTTTCCCTGCCCCCTCCTCCTGCCTGAAAGCACAGGCAGGTGAGGCAAAGCGCCATGGAGGTGTGGCAGTCAGGCCGGGCTGGGGAGGGGACGGAGCGTGAGTTGGGGTCCCCTCCCATCCTGCCTGGCTGCCGTGAGCTCTTCCTCCACTGCCACCTGGTCACAGAGGGTTTGGCTTAAAGCAAAGCCGTTGACAACCTCCATCCATCCAGGCAAGAAGGTGAGACCTGATGCGGGGACCGTGTAACTCACGCTTCCTGCACCTCCGCTCACAGTGTGCCTCCTAGGAAGGTTCCGGCGCGGTGCGTGCTCCTCGCGGGAGGGGTCTGATCAGAGCCGTGGACCTTGCTCCTTCTCCGCAGCTGCCACATCAGCCGCATCCTGGAGTCCCCGCGGGGAAACGCTCTGCTGGTCGGCGTGGGTGGGAGCGGCAAGCAGTGTCTGACCAGGCTTGCGGCTTTCATCAGCTCCATGGACGTATTCCAGATCACGCCGTGGAGAGGCTACCAGATCTCGGACTTCAAGGTGAGTGACAGCCCCCCTGCAGCCACCCACAGCTTCCTGTCCCCCTTCCTAGCTCTTCACGCGCCTCGCTTAGACCCTCCCCGTAAGGTTCTGGGCCATTCGCTTCTTGGGTTCAGGGCTAGGGACGTGAGGGGCTCTTTTCTCATTGGGCTCAGGTCTGCAGACCTCAGCTGCTTCAGCTCGGTCCCTGGAACCTTAGTTCTCACCGGAGCAGGGGCACATCTATGTGACGTTTAGCGCTCGGCTCGCTAGCCCCTGTGGCAGGCTTTGAAGGAATTCCGACAGTCTGCCCAAGTTCTATAAGACAGCCATATTTTAAAGGCAAGTTCCTGTAACCTCCAGCTACCAGGAGCTTCAGTGACATTTCCTGGTCCCGACAGTAGGCACTTAGCAGCCACAATGCAAGCTCTGAAAAGTGGGGAAAGGCATTTATCCAGCCTTCAGAGGTCACTTTGCCCAGCCCCCTCCCTTTTGTGCATGGTTACAGTAGAGGCGGGATTGGGAGTCCTGATGTAATATTATACCAGGACGCTGCCCTTACTGTCCCTGGGAGAATTCCCGCCAGCGTGGGGCCAGACCTACCCACCTGCCTTCAGATCTCTCCGCCAGTGGCACCCACTGCTGACTCCGGAGCCACAGTTCAGCCTCTCCATGACTGGCTGGATCTGAGGTCATAGACCATGGTCACGTGAGGCCAGTCTTCAGCGGTTCCCCCCAAAAAAGTAAATAAGTTAGTGCATATGAGAAACACATGTTCACAGAATGATCTAAGACAGCGGTTCTCTACCTCGACTGCATCCTGGAATCCCCTTCAAATCATGCTGGTACCTGCACCCCACCTTCCAGAAATTTCCGCGTAACTAGTCCAGGGAATGGCCTGAGTGTCGGGACTTCTGAAAGCCTCCCCCAGATGGCTCCAGTGAGAGTTGAGAAGCCTTGTCTTAGCTAATTCCGTCAATGCACAAGGTTGAGAGCAGTCGATATTCAAGGAAGTTCACTAACTTTAAAGGGGGATTATATAGAGGACACAAAGGTGCTCTGCTGTAAAGAAATGCACGAGGCTCTTAGAAAAGGAGCTTTGAGGGGCACCTGGGTGGCACAGTCGGTTAAGCGTCCGACTTCAGCCAGGTCATGATCTCGTGGTCCGTGAGTTCGAGCCCCGCGTCAGGCTCTGGGCTGATGGCTCGGAGCCTGGAGCCTGTTTCCGATTCTGTGTCTCCCTCTCTCTCTGCCCCTCCCCCGTTCATGCTCTGTCTCTCTCTGTCCCAAAAATAAATAAAAACGTTGAAAAAAAAATTAAAAAAAAAAAAAAAGAAAAGGAGCTTTGACTGGGGCAAGGGAGAAGAGCAGGATCAGAGACTGGCACCGAGCTTTGCAAGAGGGATACAGAGAAGGAACCGAGATTGACTAAGCTGGAAAAATTCAGGGCTTGGCATCCTAGCCCAAAACTTCATCTACCTGTAGTTTTGACTGGATGTAATTTCCTACAAGATGATTGTGTGTGTGTGTGTGTGTGTGTGTGTGTGTGGTCCCCAGTATATTTTATTCCAACATAAGGCTTTTGCTGGAGCGAGTCATGAGGACACAAGACACTGCTGGCCTAAGATGTATTCATCACCCAGGTCGGTATCCCCAAGAACATGACTCCTCTGTCAAGGCCAAGAGCAGTTGCTTGCCTCCTGGGGAAGGTCATTCACTTGCATGATGATATGAGTAATACAGGTGAACAGGAACCATCTCTGTCCCTTTGGGAAGCTGTTAGCTCTTTGCACAAAGCAGGAGCCCCAGAGGCCAGTATAGGAGCCACAATGGTTGTAGAATTGAAGATCATCGCTATTTAATTTTACTCGTCCATCTCTATTGGGATTGAGGCAGGGAATGAGGCGTACTTTCCTTATTTTCAGGACAAGATGGCACTCCTTCCTACTTTCCATTGCTGCTTCACTTTATCTCCCATTAAAGTAGATAAGGAAATGGTCTCATTCCTAACGAGTGGCTTGGAGACCTCTTTCAGTAAGGCCGTCTTCCCAGAGATCTCTAATATTGATTGTTTCCACAGATGGACCTGTCCAGTTTGTGCCTGAAAGCTGGGGTGAAGGGTCTCAGCACGGTGTTTCTCATGACCGATGCCCAAGTGGCTGATGAGAAGTTCCTTGTGCTCATCAATGATCTCTTGGCATCTGGTAAGAAACCCTTATCTCTTGAGTGTCTCTGCTAAATTCCCCCTGGTGTCAGAGTCACCCCAAGGTGGCCCAAGGTCCAGAGAGCTAGGTCATAGAAATAAGGAAGAAACTAGAAGAGGACTGGTTCATTAAGGTCCTTAGAGCTAGTCCTGTGCCTGGTATCCTGGCTCCTTCCATTGCAAAACAGGCAATAATCTTGGGGCTTTTATTGGAACTAGATCTGATTATTGGGAAAAGAACATGTTAAGGGTCTGCCGATCTCCTGAGCCCAGCGGGAAGGTGCTATTCTCTTCCCGTATTCAAGAGAGAAACTAGATAGAATGTGTGCAACATTTCAAGTAGGTTAGGCATTGGCCAGAAGAGACACAGAATTTGCACATGCAAAACTTACGCAATAGGGCAAGATTCGTTTGCCAATTTAATTGAGGATTCAGAACCTTAGGCAAAGTAGAAGCAACAATAGATGTAGGATATCCCTAAAATGGGGGCACCTGGGTGGCTCAGTCAGTTAGGTGTCAGACTCTTGGCTTCAGCCCTGGTCATGATCTCACAGTTTTGTGAGTTCAAGCCCCCATCAGGCTCTGTGCCAGCAGCACGGAGCCTGCTTGGGATTCTCTCCTTCTCTCTCTCTCTGCCCCGTCCCCACTCACACTGTCTCTGTCTCTCTCAAAAAAAATAAATTAACTTAAAAAAACAGAATTTCCTTTAAAAAAAAAGGGGGGGGGATATCTCTAAGCTGGTTTCCTTGGTTTCCCAAAAACTTGACAGAGGCTGTCCACTGTCCTGTGACACCATCAGTGCAAGAGAGGACTTCAGTGGAAAGTTCGATTCTGATACTTTACTGTCCTTATTTACTCAGGAATTCAGGAATTATGTGAACCATTCTGGGTTAAAAAAAAATTATACACACACACATGCATGTATATAAACATAATGCAAGATATATATAAATGTATATACCCAAGAATGTAAGACAATATATTACTTAAATTATGCATTTACAGAAATTGGAGGTGTATATTTTTGCATTTATATTAATTAAACATTGAATATGCTTTCCTGGCTCTTAAGCCAAATTCAGCATCTGCAAAACTACCTCTTCATCTGGGTTAAGAAAACAAAGTCAATGCACAGATGTTCCAGAACAAAATTACTGCCTCTAGCTTTTCAGCATTTCAGAAAGCCCATGTATCCACAGTCCAACCCCCTGGCTCTCTGACTAAATACTCTTTAGTTTATGAAATCCAAGAACCACGATCACAGCATATTTCTCCAAAGTCTATCCCATGTCATATGTAATTTATTTCAAGGTGTCTTCTGCTATGCAGTCCCTAGGAACTTCACTGCTTCAGGATCATTGTCCGCTTCAAATTTTGTATGCTTCTATCCCACGCCATTTTGCCATCACCCCTGAAGAACCAGTGGTCCCTGGTCCCCATCATGCTCTAGCAGACTCTGTGAGCAACCTTTGGATCGTTTCTGATGAGGAACGGAGTCCCAGTTTCCTTACTGTGCCATCTCTAAGCCTCACACAGATTTCTACCATAAAGTTACCTTCATATGCAGGAGTTTGCCTTACTTATTCCTTTTCTCCTCACATCCGCTCTCCCCATTCTTAGAGCCACCATCTTCTACGACAGTATTCCACCTACAACATTGCCTCACCTTTTATTATTTTACTAAATAATGAGAGTGTGTCCAGTGGCTCTCCCACCCTGCACCCTGAAGTCTAATTTCAAAGAAGGTGAAATTGTGCTTCCAAAAACTTACAGCTCTGGAGATACCAGGCACGTTGCCAGCCTCACCCTGTATCGCAGTTGGCCCCATCCAGCCAGGTCACCTTCTCCTAAAATAATGTCTGAGACACAGAAATTGATATGCTTTTACCAGTTGAAATTTTGTTTCTCAATTAAGTATTTTTAATTTTTCATTTGGAAGGCAACTATTTCTTTTCCAAGTTGAAATGAATTTCTGAAGCCCTGCCCAGTAAAAGAATAATGCAATCAGCTTGCTCCAAAGCCATGAAGTTTCAAGCTCACATTTCTCTTTTAAGGCTTCTGTATAAAAATAAGACTTACATACATGTGTTAAAAAGAGATGCAATTAAAAGTAATGCTTTTCTAATATTCCTCCCTTTCTTCTTAACCACTTTGACAGGGAGAACAAGAGGCTCTCTCAGTTCTAATTTTCCCTCTCAACTAAATAATTGCTAGAAATTAACTGACTGCCAGTCCACAGAGGGCTTTGGGAATTCCTCAGAACCTCCCCATCCCCTTCATGTTTGAATTTTGTGGGGTTGTGCAATCACTCCACTCTTGGATAACACAGTGCAAACTATAACACTATGTCAGGCTCCCTTGCCATGAACTCCTCCCTCCATAGTTATCCACAAGTCCTGTTAGTTTAGAGATATAAAGGTACAGTGGAATGTATTACACTGATTCAACCCTCCCCAAAAACACCTTTCTCAATGACTTACTAATCTCACGCCATAGGCTATCTGGCTTCTTCCCACATATTTTTTTTTTTTTTTTTTTTTTTTTTGAGAGAGAGAGAGAGAGAACACACATGAGCTAGAGAGAGAGGATCTTGAGCGGGCTCCATGCTCAGCATGGAGCCCAATGCGGAGCTCAATCTACGACCGTGAGATCTTGACCTGAGCTAAAATCAAGACTCAGACACTAACCAGCTGAGCCACCCAGGCGCCCCTCTTCCCACACTACTTTAGCTCATTGTTTGATCCCTTGATTTTCTGATGCCATTTCCAGAATCAAACCATAATAGTAATTCAGTTCTTGCATCCCACTCCTGACACCAACCAACCATTCCAGAACCTATCATTATCCCAGCTGTGTCTCAGTTGGGTTACAGATTGACAGGAAGAAATCCTGCACACAAAGTTTAAAAATTAAATATAGTTCCTAGTTTAATTAGCAAAAGGTACATAATTGTATAAAAAAAAAACATGGTGGCCGTATATATCAGGAGCAAAGGAGGAGTACCTTTGAGTCATTTCCCTTGGCTGCCAGGGTCCTTCCTGGGCATCATGCAGCTGCTGGCATCATGAAACTACACATTGAAACATTGATCCTTCCTGAATCTGGAAAGCCCAAATTTTGCTATGCCCTTACTGCCCTGTTATAATAATTCCTAAAGAGTAGACACTGGTCATCAAACCCAGGTACTTAAGAAATTCTTACAAAATGTGTACCGTCTTGGTTCTTGGACAAAACTCAGAACCAGCAAGGCCTCATCCTAACCTAGAGGGGGGAAATAGAATCATTTCCTGGCTTTCTGGTATAACACATCTTCCTCCAACTTCCCTGTATTCCAGAAAGTGCATTTTATCGCAGTCCCAGCTAAGAGGACATAGTCTGCTCTGGGTGTGGTGTCTCTGCCTTTCTTAACTCTGCCAGGTTTCACACTTTATTTTACATGGGGATCTCGTGTTGGGATTTTCCTCCTGCTTTTCAAAAGGCCTAATTGTTCACTCCATATTTAAGATTTCTCTTCCCCGGTCCAGACTAGTTCACTTTCCATGTACTCATATTCAGAACCACTTATTAAGCTCACATGTTCCAGTCAGTAGGCACTGTGCCTAAACATGAGCATCATACACTCTATGTGGCCTATTGAAATAGTTTATGAAATTGGGTCCCCCTTGTTATAAAGTACTGTGCCTCTCCATCTCTGAACCAGACTGTCCTTTTAAATTAGGGCCACATCTCCTGTTCATATATAGAACATGAAAAGATCACCTCGCCTTCCAGGATCTCAATGATTAGATCCAGGATTGGTATATTAATGGTCTCCACCCATCACATAAGAATCTGGAGTCTAGGGGTGCCTGGGTGGCTCAATTGGTGAAGCATCTGACTTTAGTTCAGGTCATGATTTCACGGTTCATGAATTCAAGCCCCACATTGGGCTCCATGCTGACAGGGCAGAACCTGCCTGGGATTCTCTCTCTCCCTTTCTCTCTGCTCCACCCCCCCCCCCCCACATACACACTGTGTCGCTCGCTCTCTCTCAAAATAAGTAAACTTAAAAAAAAAGAATCTGGAGTCTGGAAATATTTGTAACAGACTTGGCATTAGATTATGCTTTTCCCAGAACTAGGTTTCCTGGTGGGCCATCTCTGCTTTACATATGCAGAGATCTGGCCCAATTTCCCTGGAAGAAGAGATAGACTGGGAGGCAAAGGAGGCTCCCTTGAGCATGCATCAGATATTCTGAGCGTACTTTGTGGTCTCTGTGGCTTTATCTACAGGTTGTGTCCTCAAACCAGCACCTGGTTGGCTCTCCAGCTGCCAAGCAGAAATGCCAAAAGGTGATGCAAAAACATGCTTGAGTTGTCAGCCTTTCCTTTCCTTCACGTGGTGCTAAATTTCTATGCAAGTTGTTAAGACGATGTCCGCGCATTTGCCTACATTGCTGACTTCTCCCTCATCTCCTCTATCTAAGAGATAATCAGCCACCACCAATTTTATCCCCGAACCATTTCTGAATCTAAATCTTCTCTATCATAGCTACCACCGGTCTTTTCATCAGTTCATTCAACACATACAGGCACTTCTTAACTCATCCCCACATCCTAGGCAATACCCCCCCCCCC